ATGCACGGTGATGGATGCAGGTAGCACACGTGAGCGATACACGAGTTTCTGTGGGGCCCACCAATTTATGCGCTCGTCAGTCTAAATCGTTCAGTCCTTTGACGAAGGGCACAGTGGGTCTGTCCAAGTTTCTAGAATACCTGTCCATATCGGTTCACACGATGTCCAATTTAGAACTACCGGTCCAAGAAGCTTCTACAAGAATCTAAAGCGCTTCAACTACATGGCAGATTCCAATTCTACCGGTTCAAGAAGCTTCCACAAAATTCCAAATCGGTTCGCCGTTTCTCCAACTTCGACGGGTTCACCTAATTTGATAAAAAAAAAATCCAATTTCAATCTKCCGGTCCAAGAAGCTTCTTGAAATTCCAAATCGGTTCGTCGTTGCTCTAACTTCTACGCGTTCACCTAATTCGATAAAAAAAAACTCCAATACGGTATTGTTTTGGGCGGGGACCTGGTAGGGCCTGCCCATTTCGGTTCACGATATGTCCAAATAGCGGCAGTATGTATCTAACTTACCTGGTCAAAGGAGTAATAACGAATTATTTACTCAATAAAATTAATTAATGATTAATAACGAAATAATAATTCTTAATGATAATCAATAAAACAATGTTTGCAATAAAGATTTCTTAATGATAATCAATAAAACAATATTTGCAATAATGATAATGAACGAATTTGAATTGTATCACGATTAGGTATCCTTTGAGATCAATTATGGTTCGGTAGTTCACCGTTAATTAGTGAACTACCCGGAAGTCGCAATTTTGAGGGTCAGATTCGGATTAATTTGCCGACAAAGTTTTCAGAGAACACACACTCGAATTTTCAAAAACGTGAAATTTCGGGAATTTCCACCGTCAAAATCCGATTTTTAAAGGCCTAAATCCGTTTTCGGAATTTCTCCAACAAGGGGAAAGAAAGAAAAAAAAATCGCAAAAATTTCGGGCCCAACCCTAATTTTCCGCGTTTCCGCGAAATTTCCGGTATTACGGTTCCAAAACGTTTGAAATTCCCAAGTTGATCGAGCAACCAAAATTTTTGTAACCCTACTTTCCAATACTGAAGGAAAAACGGAAATACCAACAGAAAAACGAAATGTAGCCGAACTTAAAAACGGAATGCTGAATGGAAATCAGAATGCCGAATTTCAACGGATACTGATTCAACCCTAATAACGTTTTAACATCAGAAATCCGAACCTAACAAATTATCGGATTAGTATCAATTAATCGGAACCTAAATAAACAGCATACCGGAATAAAACAGAACTCCGAATTATAAGTCCGAATACCGAATTGAAAACAGAAATGCCGAACTAAATAGAATACCGAAAAAAGAAAAAATTTGCAAGTTTGAACTTGATAGTAATACAGAGCTGATTTGGAAGATGAAGAAGCAATCTAATTCCTAATCAGACTTACCTGGTGAGCAGATCCGTGAAATGGTCTGCTCCGATACCAAAACTGTTACATACTTCAATGAGTATGGGCAGAACCAAAGATCAACCAATGTAGGATGAGCATATATGCAGCGGAAGTCTGATAAACGGACTGACTCACACAGACTGACTCACACAGATATCACTCCACACACATACAATCGTGAGATGGTGGGGTCTGGGCCAAGCATAGACGATGCCCAGACCTCGTACACACATACACAGATGAGAGGTGGGAGATGTAGGTAGCGCCAGATGTCACCGAGATAGAAACCAAAATGTCATCGAACAAGATCAAATGTCGCGGACGATAAGTCACCAATGTCAGAGATACAGAGTCCTAATGTAACCGGTGTCCAATCTGTGATGCAGCCGAGTATCATCCCAACAATCTCCAAGTCTCGAATCCGGTAAGTACCACAGCCTCTTACCACCGAAGTCCAACTCTGATCTCTGTCCAACTAGTATAAGTCTCCAGTCTGAAGAAGAAGAAGAAGAGGAAGAAGGGAGTCGAGGAGGAGAGAGAGAGAGAGGGGACTGGCGACGGGAGGGAGGAGAGAACCCACTGTCTCCCGATACCTCAGGCGGTTATGGCCGCCGATGTGCCCAGTCACCGCTGCTGCTGCTCCGCTCGCTGCTGCTGTGCTAACGCTGCTGCTGCCGCTGCTCCTCTGGCTCCTGCGCTAAGAATAGCGCCAGCGCTGTCACGCCATACCATACCGCACCGCTAGAGTGCCGGTGGGTCGATGCCTCGAAGTGAGGCCGGACCAGTACTAAGCACTGGTTCGAAGAGGACCGGCCTCAATGCTGCGAGGCCTTGGTTGGGGCTGAACCGTCCAGATCGACGATTCAGGTCCAACCGGAGAGCGGCAGCCTCAAAGGCGCCGCCAGGCCCAAAACGAAATGTCGTTTGGGCCTGGTCCGTAATCTGGTCCAAGTCGTGGCCTTTCGGCCTGTTAATCCCCAAGGTCRGGCCTTTAGGCCCTAATGTGTCCCTCTAGCCCCGAGTCGGGTCCGGTAGGACCCGTCTGGCGTCGAAGATGTAACAGTGGACCTCAAGTGATGCCGGCAGTAGAAGAGGAAACTCGGACATTGATTTTGGATCAGCTATTCAACATTGTATTATTATTTCTTGTATGAATAAGAGAAGGAGGGAATAAGGAGGAGGAGATTGTTGGGCGAAGAAGAAGAGCCTTGTCATTTGTCTATGCTGGTGTACATCATCTTCTTCTTCTTCTTCTTCTAGTCCTCTCTCTCCTCTCAAGTTCATTCATTTCTTTCTGCAATTGGACGGCATTGTACTATCTGATGGATGTGTATCTCGAAATTGGTCAGGATCATAACATCCGGCTTCTTTAACACTGGATGGGGCAGACAGCAGACGGTGATTTGGATGGATACAGTTCCTTGTAGAAATCTTTCGCTGCCACTTCCAGCATCCCTTCGCTGTCCGTCCGTCCGTCCGTCCGTCCGTCCGTATTTCCTGGGGGCCTTGGACAAATCTTTTACGCCTTCAATGGAGCCAGATCTATCGTTTGCTCTTAGGGCATATTCACACTACGACTTTTTTACGTATTTTTACTATTTTGTAATATCCAGAATTTTTTTAATTTTTTTTTAATCCTTCCAGAAGTTATTCCATAGCCATTCCAATATCCAGTTGCTCTCAGATACAGTCCTTCCACTCCTTCCAGATTTTTTTTTATTTTTTTTTTTTTTAATTTAAGGACTGACGGTCCTGGATCCCTTTAGAGATTTGAAAAGTTTCAATTGTCAACAAATTTGAACAAAACCTTCGTAGCAAGTTTGTAGCAGTTGATAGCTCAAATCACCCCCGATCCCGACCAGTCAACTGCTTGCACCTAGACCCTGCAGCTGTCCATGTGCAGATGGCAGCGGGAATGAAATTAAAAACATCAAAACGATCATATTGCCCATCACCTGCAAAAAAAAGGACTCTCCAGCAGAGCTGTGGAAGAGGTGGAAGAGAAGGAAAAGGAGGAAGAGGAAAGAGGAAAAAGAGGAGCAGCAGGAGGGGGGCGGGAAAAAGAAAAAAAAGGACGAGGAGAATGCATGCAATTTTTCATTAGTTCCACATGAAATGCCATCAGGCCTGATCGGGGCTGGTGAGAATTAAAAAAACAAGAAGAAGAAGAAGAAGGAACTATTCTAGAAAACACCAAGCTTCGAAAAAAGCTTGAGTGCTGAGCGCTGGGGATGGGATGGGATGGGTTTCTTCGTTTTTGCTTCACATACCTCCAAGCATTTGTTCCATGCAGTCCAGAGCTCCCCTGTAAGAACCAACGGGACCATCAGAATAGGGACCCCAACTGCTGTTGTGCAGAAGAGCATCTCCTCCTGCAAAGGGCAAAAAAAACAGACAGCAGAGAGGGTCTCGGAAAAGTCAGCCACACAATTCCACCCTGCCAAGACTGTGCCAAAAGGGCCAAAAGACCCTTGTATAATTTCCTAAAAGCCTCCGCAAAAACCAACGACTGTTCAACAGAAGATAATAATAATAATAATAAAGGTGGGGACGATAATAATAATAATAAAGGAGGGGACGAGCGAAGGGGGTAGAGGTAAACAATAATAATTTAATAAATTAATATCAAATATATGCAAAAGGGCCTTTACCGATATAGGCCTCAGGCCTTGTAAAAATAAAGAAGCACGGGCCTTGAAAAAGTAAAGCATTGTGAAAAGGTATCTCGCCAGGGCTCAGAAACGTGAAAGCAGGTCAAAGGTCAAGTTCTCTRTCAACAGGCACATCTAAATCTAAGGCAAAGGGCATTGTCAAAGGACTTACCTGTTCACCAGGAGCTGTGTATGTCATGTCTGTTCGGGTAAGAATGTGTCTGTTCGTGCAGACAGTGTACCTGTTCGTGCAAAGGAATGTGTCTGTTCGTTTAGAGTTATGCCTGTCCGAAAGTAAAGTCAATAGGCACAGTCCCAGTTCTGGTCTAAGTCCAGTGGTCAGTCCAGATCCAGACTTTCAAGTCCAAATCCAGGCCAGGAGGCCTTAGCAGCAGTTGAACTTCATTGGGACTCTACTGGGACACATGCAATGCAGGGTCTGGGACAAAAGGAAGGCTGGATTGAGCCCAATGCAGACCCAGCGAGGAGTATAAAGGAGGCAGCCAGCCTCATTCCTCGCCAGATCTCCACTGGCATTCTATACGTGGAAGTGCTGGTGCACTTGTGCGTTGAGCCAGTAGGAGCAGCGCTGGAAGGAGAAGATGCGCTGAGTGAAGGGAGAAGCTTGTATGCTGGAAAGAATGCAGCCATAGCTGCCCAGCAGTTAGTATTAGTACTAGAGGGTTAGTAGTGATAGYTATGAGTAGTATTCAGAGTAGATCCTCATGAATAGAGAATGTGTATGCATCGTAAGAGGAAGGGMCTGAGATATAGAGTGTTCATTCAAGTTTCGGCTATGGAAGATACTTACCTGAGTTGGATGTGACCTGCAGAGGTGGCGCTGAKGAGTAGTGTCCATATTGATGACTTGGAGACTATCTGCAGGAGTAGCGCTGATTCACTGGAAGTCATATTGATGAGTTGACAAGAGATTGGTGTTGCGCTGATGAGCGCTGGACTCAGGGGAACCTTGAAACACTTTGTATTCATATTTTTGATAATATAAGCTGTGAAACTCGGTCCTCTTCTCATCTACCTTTGTCTCTGACTTGAGACTATTGATCGTGGTGTGTGAGGATGATGCATGACATGTACACATCTGCGTGAGATGGTCCCCAGGACCCATGCAAATATATGCATACGTTACAACTTACAACTTATAATTCATTGCTTTGGCGTTGTGTCAGCGGTCCGGCTGGTTCATGAAGAGCACAATGTGTTTTCAATTTGGGTTGGGTCTTGAGACTCTTGACTCTTGACGTAAAGGGACCAGGGAAAACAAAGTTGTAGGGCCTGAGGCATTGGGCCAGGAGCAGGGACAACAAAGCTGTAGGCTCCGGACTTTGACTACCGGGTCGAACACGAGGCTCAACAGTCCGTTGAGCCGGCATAAAGGGAAGACAGAGTCAAAGAGACCGGTGATTCAGGTGAGCAGGCTGAGGCGGCCGCGCTGCTGGATATTCAGCGTGCTCAGCGCCCAATTAGGAAGCTGCTGCAACGGAGGACGAGGGTGGACGACAGCCATAGCCGGACTCTGCGTGCCATAGCCGGATGGCAGGAAGTGAAGTGGTCCTTCCTGCCGCACAGGAACGGACAAGGAACACAGCGGGAACGAGGCATGTACCTGGTGCTGATGAAGACCTGCTGATTGACCAGGTACGTGCCAGCACGTACCTGGTCATCTTTAAGCGGCACCGACCGATTGACATATCGACGGATTGCTGGCATGTAGACAGAGGCTCTTTTTTTTTTTCTTTTTTTCTTTTTTAACAACCCGACTCCCGAGTGAATGCTAGGAGTGCTGATAAGATTAGGCCAGACTTGTAGGGAGCCAGGAAGTTGGATGGGTGTTCAGGACACCAGTAGGGAGTTCACATCGTCGTTGTGCTGATGATCGGAGGCGGTGGAAGCGCCTTCTTTATCGAGAGACTTGAGTGTATTTGCCCATTCCTATGCGGTTTGAATTCCTCGCTTGATTTCTGCTTTCAATTTGGCTCAATTATATTATGTCTGGTGTGGCAATCTGGTTTATTGCTATAGTCAGTTTGTCATGGCTTATCTCCTTGCACAGTCAACAGGTGGGGGAAATGACGACATACGGCAAGCTGCGTCAGGATGGGAGATGAACATTGTACCTGTGAAATCGCTGAGACTGTGAACAATGTCTCTTGCTGATTGCCAATGAATGCATCGCACACGAGTGCGAGAGAGATCAAAACGACACCCATGAACCGGAACTGCGGTGTCACGGATGCATCCGCCAACACAAATAAGATGAGCCCTGCCACTAGCATCACAGCGGAAGAGTAATCAACCGCCGTGTACCGACGCCTCAGCTTTGGAAAGAAGGGCCCCATCAGCATGACGGGGATTACCTGTGAAGTTGCAAAACACGACGAAAGGGGGGGGGGGGGGGGGGGGGGAGAAAGGGGGATGGGGGGAAAGGTTAAAAATATAAGTTATAATAACAAAAAGTGTCACTTGCATGAATCTGCCATTCACCAAAACCTATGACTATCCACTAGGAGCTATCACAATTATCAGGAAAAGAAAAAAAAAGATTTAAAAAAGAAAAAAACTTAAGCCACACAATACACCTGAGCCTCTTTTCCCAATGCACAATTTTGGTAGGGCCTACTTGACGGCGCCAGCCATTTTCTGTCCACTACGTTGACTGTATCGGGCCAGGAGAGAGTCTGTATACATTTGCAACATGTTAACCACCATACTGGAACAGGGTAAAACCATTCTGTGAATTTTTGTCCGCTTTACTTCCGCCTCTCCCCCCCCCCCCCGAACAGAACGCACCCTTATTTTTTTTACTCTATCGGGCAAGGAAAAATGTTCGGGGGAAGACGGTAGACCACAGAACAATTCCATCAGCGCATTTACGCATTTAAACCATCAAACAACAAAACTAAAAAAACAAAGTGAAACAAATAGCAGAGGAGAAAAGAAGACGAAGAAGAAAAAGAACAGAAGGGAAGATGGGGAGCATAGAAAATAACAACTTCAAAAGACAGATAAAAAGAAAAACCTACGTTGGGAGGAAAATGCGAGAGGATGAGAAAGAACACTCTAGTTTCAGTACAGAGGTCACCAGGAGCTGCAGCGACTCGGAAGGACCGGCCCTTGGAAAAGAAAAGGCATCACCACATTGAATCAGCGGCTCAAAACGCAGCTCGTCCGATACTTTCGGAGGCAAAACATGGTTATTATAACAGTGCTGTTCAAACCCTTGGCCTATTTTTTCTTCATGACATATGTCACCCTGCTTATTACTCCCCCCCCCCCCCAACCCACCCCCCTAAACATCCTTCAGCCCCCTGCAGCGGTCACCCTGCTTTAAGTAGACTGAGAGGGTCTTTCCAACCACCACTACCTCCCCAAGCCCTTTTTTGCCAAGGCGGATTCCCCCCTTGCGCGCCACGCTTTGCCAAAAGGCCAGCGCAGCATTTTATTTTTTTTTCCCTTTTTCTTTTGGCTGGCGCCACCAGCCATGTTGGTCCAGTACAAACTGGTCACCATAACTTTTCAGATGACTCGTTTTTTTATTCTCAAGTGCGCACGGGCGGTGTACCACCGGTTCAAGGACTGTTTTTTTTCTGGAGTGTTTTTGGATAGGTAGGGTAACTCAATTTGCTATAAGGAGGGGTCTGTACTGGAAATTGAGTTACCCTCCCCTATGGCATTGATTTCCTAGAGCAAATTGAGTCACCCTCCCAAAAAATTGATTTCCTGGGAGGGGTCTGTAATGCAAATTGAATTACCTGTCCCTACAGGGAGGAGTCTGGACTGCAACTGGGCCAAATGACAGTTAAATTAAGCTAATCTCCTTCCTGAGGCGTCCGGTTTCGACAAATACCTCGCCAATGCTGTCATGTAGCTCCCCGGGCCGGAACATGCAGAAGCGTTAAAACACTAGTACCTTTGGCGTCCGGTTTCGACAAGTCCTGGCCAGTACCCGAACTTTCAGGAGGCCGAGCCCGACGTTGATCAATCTGATCGGAGACCGTCATTTCGTTTCAGCCCTCCTGAAAGGTCGGAAGCCGAGTATTTTCGAACCGACAAAGGTACTGGTGGTTTAAGAGTGCGTGATGTAATGACCCGCCATAACACAGACTGAGAACACTGCTGATTTCTGAAGTTCTGCCGATGGAATGAATACCTTGCTGAGATTCCCGCATTCCGCTGAGTTTTCTAAGTCTGTATGTGTGCGTGCTTGTTGGCCTGTGTGCCTGTCTGAGTGCTTGTTGGCATGAGTGTGTTTTAGATTTTCCCCACAACAGCCCCAATTCCACCCAGGTGAATAGATTCAGAATCAAAGCAGTTTTTGTCCTATTGCAGACAACGAGAGCATTTGAGATGTCCAACATATTAAAGCAATTTTATAATTAGACAGTTTTTTGGTTGTCCTTGGGGTACCCCTTTCATTGTTCTTGCAGCTCCCCTTTTACTGTGCCTCTTACGCACAAGGGGCTGCCCACGTTGATTGTGGTTGAGCGGCAGCTGCCCACATCCCCGTGTGCCTTCACGGCCCACTTGCACGTTATTTCAGGAGGCAGACTAAAAGGGAAGGTATGCTCCTGTGCATCTCTTCAAAGCTTCATACTCCTGTTCATTTCACTTCAGATCTTCAGCTTATACAGTCTTTGTGTCCGTCCTTCATCTCCATACTTCCATTCATTTCATTTCTGATATTCATATCGTCTATACTCTTAATGATGCTCATTCGTATGTATTTGATAGGAGTACAAGAGGAGTGGAGGGGAGGGTGGAGCATAAGGGATAGAAGGCGGAGTTCTCTAGGAACATCGGGCAAAACAAAAAAAAAACAAAAAAACAAAAAAAAACACTACTACGGCGAGTGGCCACCCCTACAGACCGGACAGGACCGGTTCGGATGTGGGCTATGGAAGCACCGCATCCAATTTCCGCAGTCACAGTTGCTGCATCGAATGGCACGGCGCAGACAGATGTCACAGGCTACGTGACATGCTAGGAACACAGAGGCACATCAACCGCAATTATAGAGGCATTGCCGTTCCAGGCCGTCTACAAATTGGACATGACATGTCGGGGTGCCGTACATGAGTGCAGTACTGACTGTCATCGTACGTATGGAAGCAAAAACTCGCATGGACTATACCTTCATAATCCTCACGGCACAAGGCATGCGAACCACATGCTMGTTGRATCTCCGGCAGGTCATCACAAAACGGCATGGAGCATCTTTCTTGGGCTTCCTCAGTATGTGTTCCTTCTGTATGGGCAGACGACAACAGGGAGGATCGGTCCAACGCAAGGGCATTCAGCTGCTGCAGGATATCATCCGCAACAGCTCGCCCTGGTGGTGATAAACTTTGAGCACATCGCTCTGCCGGTGGTTCATATACAAGTCTATTTTCCTCCTCGGACTGCTGTGTTCGTCGTTCGTCTGGCAAGAAAGAGGGAGATCCGTCCACGGTTGCCGTAGGTGTATGACCAATACCGCATGTGGGACATGCTAGGAGAGGATGTGGATGGTGATGGCACTGGGGATAGTCCACGCAGTAAAGACACATACTTTCTATGACAGCTTCCTGGAAGCATTGACGACACAAGGCATGTTGCTGACATGTCATTAGTATGGAAGGCTGACGTGCACAGTCATGGCAGATCAAGGCCACAACGGCATGCTGGGCAAGTAATCAGGGGGTGGGGGGGACGAGCACAGGACAGGAGATCACAATTTTCATGTGAGAGGCTAGCAGCGACCATCCCTTCATGGTGTTCCCGCAAGGGTACTTGCTTGTTTGGCAGGCCCGTAGGGCCGGTACTTACCTGTGGCCGTGAGATGGAGGGTTGCAGCAGGGAAAACACTAAAGTAGCGGAGCCAGAGGCCCGCGGCACTTAGAGCAGCAGAAAAACACTCAAGTAGCAGGTAGGCCGCTACCGCACCCAGTAGCAGTAGATGTGCCAGGTACTCCACGCCGAGCAGAAGAAGACAAAGTTGGCATTTTTAGAGGCCCAGTAGCGGAAGGCTAGGTCTAGGCCGGTACCAGTCCATCCAGTCTGAGTCTAGAGCCTGTATGGGCAATATCAAAGTCTGCAATGGTGTTTCCCTCCGAAACGGAGGAGGTACCAGTTGCTTGGGAGGCCGAGTGGCCTGGAAGTCACCGTGGCCTGGAAGTCACCGCCCAGGAGGCAAGTAGGCCGCTATATCAAGAGGCCGAGGGAAGAGCCCGGCCTCATTCTTCAGTGTGCACGTTTGGCGACACGCTGCTGGAGCGCTGGCTACTACAGCGCTGCTGGAAGGAAGAAGCCGGGAGCTTCCACCTTGGCCATGGTGGAGCTCTACCGGTAGGAGGGGGGGAAAGAGGACCAAGGAGGAGAGTGGCGAGGCACCTACCTGGCTATGGTGGACACCATCTTCATCACCTTGTTAGGCGCTGCATCTGGAAGGCCCCAGTTGGGGTAGTGCCGCATCAAGGAAGCTCGGGACAGAGTCAGGCATGGCGGCTGAATGGGCAGCGGCATAGCTGCCTTGTGTTAACCTTGGGACAGGAGAGCAGCGACATAGCTGCTTTGGGTTGTCCTTTGGACAGGAGGGTCGAGCCCTCAGTACTCCGCCATAGCCTTGGCCTACATGAAGAGGAAGAGGAAGGGTGGCCACGGCTATGGTGGACCTCATGTTGTGCCTGCAGTAGAAGAGGGATTCGAAGTCTTCGGACATTGATTCTGGTTCAGCCATTCAACATTATTATTGTTATTTCTTGTTTGAATAAGAGTGGAGGAGATAAGGAGGCGGCGATTGGTTGAAGAAGAAGAAGAGCATTATCTTTGGTCTATGCTGGCGTACATCATCTTCTTCTTCTTTGCTGGCGTACATCATCTTCTTCTTCTTTCTTTCTTGTTCTTCTTCTTCTTTCCCTTCTCTCCTCTCAAGTTCATTCATTTCTTCTTGCAATTGGACGGCATTGTACTTTCTGATGAATGTATACTTCGAAATTGGCCAGGATCATAACAGTGATCTCGTTGTATGAATTTTGACTTGCCGGGGGAATAGGACTTGCCGGGTATTGGGCCCAGATATCTCCGGGTTGTTTGTGGAGGAACTCCCGGCCTCCTTGATCTTGAATGGAATAAAAAATGCAAACATTCTTTAAAAAAAGAAAAAAAGATAAAAAACAAAGGAATGTTTTCAGGAGAGAGACCACCCATTCCGACCACCACCTTCAAGGAAGGGGGGGGGGGGAGAGGAGGGAGGGGGAAGCAGAAAAGTAGAGAAGAAGAAGTAAGAAAGAAAGGAAAGAAAACTTATGCTCTGTGAGGTTTCAGAGAGAGAAGGAAAGAAAAAGGGGGAAGTGAAGTCCTACAGAAGATCTGTTAAAATTGGAATGATACAGGGAAGCTTTGCCATTGCCCCTACACAAGGAGGATATGACATGCATGAATTGTTGTGAAATGGTCCAAATTAAATAATTCAATAAATATAGAAATGGATAGGGAAGGGAAGGAAGGAGCCCAACCAACCTTTGAGGACTTGAACACAATCTGTGCAGGGTAGTTGAGGTACTTTAGCGACCCCCGAGTCAATCCCATGCCAACCGTCAGGAAGAAGGAAAGATTGAAATACGCTCCCCAAGAATTCACTTTTTGCGATGGGCGAAACCCCGTGGCCAACACTATTGTCATGAAGCACAGTCCCTGGAGAAGAGTGAAGTACCATCCATAGCTGCAAAAAAAATACGAATTCCAACACCGGCTCACTGCACGTCCCATTCGCATTCTCACGTTCGCGTCCCACATCCACGCTCACACACGTCCATTTCCACACACACATCCACGGCAAATCCAATCCAAACCCTTTCCACACGGATGATGTCCCCTTTCCAGGCGAGGCTCAAAATTTCAGGTTCCAAACTTGCAGTCAAGTTCTGCAGCAGAAACTTTCACTGCCAATGTCAAAGAACTTTCAGTGGCATTGTCTGTTGTTATTCCATCTTCTGAAAAACTCCAGACTGGGCCGCCAAGCCCTCAGCATCTCAAAAAAAAGGGAGGGAGGGGACGCTGCCAGACATAGCTGCTGCTGTACAGAATGTTCCCACTCATTTCACACACAGAGAGAGACAGAGAGAGAGAGATGACAAATTTTGGCAAGAGAGAGAGAGAGAGAGAGAAAGATGACAAATTTTGACAAGAGAGAGGGAGAGAGAGAGAAAGAGATGACAAATTTTGGCAAGAGAGAGAGAGAGAGAGAGAGAGAGAGAGAGATGACAAATTTTGCAAAAGAGCAAGAGAGAGAGAGAGAGAGAGAGAGAGAGAGAGAGAGAGAGATGACAGTTCTTAGCATTACTGTGTTCCACTGAGCTGATGAACTCTCCGGTCGTTTTCAGCATGATTGCGCTTGATTGATTGATTGATTGATTGATTGATTGATTGCCAAGGTTTCCACAGCGTCATGTCACTTTCTGCATGACTGTGTTAGCAATCATTGTAATCAGCAGAGCCATAGGAAAACAATCGAAGCACCAGGCAAGAGTGATGGATCGCGTGACTGGCAGGACTCATTGATGGCTCGGTTGATTGATTGAGTGTGTGAGTTGGTGAGTTGGTGAGCGAACAAGTGTGTGAGTTAGTGAGTGAGTCAGCTAGTGAGTGAGTGACTGAGCGAGCGAGCAATTAGATTAAGTGATTGAGCGAGTGGAGCAAGTGGAGAAGAGCGTGAGTGAAAAGTGAAAGTAACTGAGTGAGCAGCGGAGTAAGGGAGAGTGAGTGGAGGGAGTGAGCGGGTGGGGTGACTGAGTGAAGAGAGTGAGTGAACGCATGAGTGAGAGAGCAAGGGAGTGGGAGGTAAATTGACTCATGTAGTGTCTTGAGCTTTGATTGCCCCGAAGCATGTGGATGTTACCGTGTGCGAAATTCCGAGTTTCTTGCTCGGCTCGGCGTTGCCGTCTCTCTAGTTCCTGTATAACTGTAACGAACTTAGAATTTAGAACTCTCTCAATTGTTCTTTGACATATCACATCTGACAGGCACTGGGTTCAAGGAGGAGGAGGAAGAGGAGGAGGAGGAGGAGAAGGGTGAGAGGGAGTGAGTACACACACTGACGAACGAACTCCAACGCAGAACTGGTACAATGAGGGACACTCAAAGACGAGAACCGGCAGCAACTCAATGTCGAACTCGCACTCAAATGTCTTGGAAGTTGGAACGTAGTACAGCTCACGATGTCCCGCGAGTGCAGTGTGTGACAGTTACATATACCTGGGACATTGGTAGCAGCTTAACGGCTTGGCTGGGCTCAGGGGTATGTACGAAATCAGTCGTTACCAGAGGAGGGTACAAGTAAAAATGTCCAAAGGACACAAATGCAAAGCGTGCCAGTGCCGAGGCCATAGAAGAAACAAATAAATGTCTGCTACAGGGCATGAGGCCCAGGGATTGAGCCCCGACAAGATCCGTTCTGTACCAGTTTCAAAATGGGAAAACTGAGATTCCCCTCCGCCACGCACTCCAATACACAGTATTACACACAAGATGATGACAGAAGCCTTGTTCTGCACTTCGCCTCTTTGTGGAGATGGAGAGGACCTAAAGGAGGAGAGGGTGGAAGGGAGGGGATACGGGGCAGAGGAGGTAAAATCCTTGAAACAGTCTGGCACAGTCATGCTTCTTTTGTGGAGTTGTATATAGCGAACATCACACACACACACACACACACACACACACACACACACACACACACACACACACACACACACACAGAAAGAGAGAGAGAGAGAGAGAGAGAGAGAGAGAGAGAGAGAGAGAGAGACCACTGAGAAATGGCTCCAGATTGGCAGTGAACAGGAGGGGTTGGAAGGGAGGGGATACGGGGCAGAGGGAGAGGGAGAGAGGGAAGGAGGAGGGGCATTTGAGGAAGAACGAATACGGATGATGAACAGGTGCAGAATACGCATACCTTAGATGAAGATAATTGTACACATACTCCTGCAGATATAAGGAAGCAAAAGAAAGGCGAGACACAGGACGCAGACGATGATCAAACTGTTATACTTGGTAAAGCAAAAATATAACACTCAGGGTCCCCACACATAGGTAAGACAGCTCTGAGTAACACCGACTCGTGGATGCAACAGCAATAATTGGTACTTACCCCTCTAGTGTCAGCAAACACATTATCACTTCGACTCTCCCCACATACAGTCTCGAATTTGCATGAGCAGGAGAACGCCGGATAAACACCACCACAAATATCCTTGCAGACATCGTCGGACGCTATCGTCTTCACCCCCCAAATAGAACGCCCGGTCATTATCGCTCTCTCTGGACCACAAGTTGGCCCAAATACAGCTATTATAATGTAATGACCGGGCGTTCTATTCGGGTGAAGACGGTAGGCTTTATTGCACTCCAAACCAAACAAGCGTCCGACTTCAAACCACTCGTATCTGTGCACAAGTCTGAGTGTCTTTCGTCTTCATGTGCGCACGCCTGGGGCACTCGTAGCATGGCATGTTTAAAGTAGGGCATCCCAAGATCTATACGATCAATAGCATGGCATGTTCAAAGCAGGGCATCCCAAGATCTATACGATCATTATCACCCTCACAGCAACCCCTACAGCATCTATAGAATCTCCACATACATATGCCCTACCATTTTGATAATCCAACTCCACAGTCGTTTAGATATCCTTCCACAGCACTTGCATAATGTTTCTGCAGTCAATCCGATGCCGAACGGTTTTGTTTCTCAACATTATTTCAATCTTGTAAAACCACCAGATGATCCATATACAAGTATATACTATATACCATATACCTTCAGTTACCCCAGTCAATCCGATGCCTACCGTTCTACTCAGAGACAACCAGTAGACGGTGAAGGATAATTTTTTACCCCAGTCAAAATCCTTCGCGAATTGGTCACCCCGCAGTTAAAACTACATTTACAGAATTTTGTCGAGCCTCGTTTTGCCGAGGCAGAAAAGGAATACGCACCCCAGTCAAAGCTTTGCCGAAGCACCAGCACGGCATATTTTTCCCTTTCCTTTTGGCCGGCACCGCCGGCCATTTTCGTCCGATAGCACACTGTTCATCCAAACCTTTTGGAACGACTCATTTCGATTCTAAAGTTTGCCTGCGCATTGTACTTACGGTTTAAACCTCCATCACTCACCCGGGAACCCAACCTCTTCTTCTCTAACCTGGCCCCATATCCTCTTAATACCATCACAAATGCCGTCTTCTTCACCCGCATAGAATTCTTCACCCATTATTCAAAGAATGCTCAGTCATTATCCCAGTATCTAGACTGAGAGTCGCACTGGATACACCTAATATAACGAGGCATTCTGTTCGGGCGGAACATGGAAGCGGAAAGCTTCAGGAGGGTGAGATCATAATCACCGAGCAATGCAGTTCCTCGCCCAAGCAGAGACTTGAACCTCACCTCTAATGCATGGGCAGACCGCTTCCTGGCAACCCTCCAAAGTTATTAATTAGGATTTTAGTAGTGATCAGAATACCGCCCATGCGGTTTGACTCCGTTCGAGGCATTAAAATTTAAAAATCAAAACCGCCCATGCGCCACTACCCTTCCCAGGACTGTAACAGTTCTGAAGGACAATATACGGTCAGTACAGCTGTATTTGGGGCAACTTTGCATCTAGATACAGCACCAATGACCATACGCTGTTTTCGGATGAAGATGGGCCGTAGGCATGAACCCCCATGACCCCAGGTCAGTTGTATCATCCAGGGTTAGGCTAAGATATGGGTTAGCAAAATATATATATAAACTTATTATAAAGAAAAAAGTTTAAAAAACGGGTTAGCAAAATTATATTTCCATGCAGCAGAGTTTCGTTGAAGCATAAGAGTTTTTTTTCCGAACCCATCAACTTTGGCAGCTAGAGTCTGCTAGACTGAAAAAGCCTGGTCATTATCGCTGTATCTAGACTGAAACTTGCCCTGAATACCACAAGCTAAGATGAGGGTTATTATCGCTGTATCTAGACTGAAACTTGCCCTGAATACAACAGCTAAGATAAGGGTTAGCAAAATATATTTCCAAACAGTCGGACTTCGGCATACCTGGGGATGGTGATGTTACCGTCGTCACCGAAAGAGGCCTTTTTTTTTTTTTTTTTTTTTTGCCTGAACGCCCGGTCTGCTCAATATAGCTGTATATGCAGGCACTGCAGGGCAAGTATCAGTCTAGATACAGCGATGGACCAGGCGTTTTTCTTTTTTTTTCTTTTTTTTTTTTGATAAACGGATACCTGCCTGCTATTCAGCAGAGGACGGCAGGATGAACCGGAAAAGACGCCAGTTTTCTGAACTCGTCCGTGACAGCAGGACACAAAAGATCCGTTAGGTTTTCACGGATGTATCAGACCGTTAGAATGGCCAGATTCACTTGAATCTTGACAGTCGTGCTCTCTTCAGCAAAATACTCGTGCCAGAATTTCCTGAATGCATCTCAGACTCTGAGCGGACATCTCTAGTGGTGGGGACCACTGAGCTGAGAATGTCAGCCAACGACAAAAGCCAGAAGCATGCATATACCCACAAAGGATGCAGGGACACTTTGTGGGCAAGCTGCTAGCCAACTGGAACTGTACACGTTTTTTTGGACCCGATACATTCAAAATGTCGAGTTCATCCGAATGCACCTGGTCCAGACAGCGTCCATATGCATGCAGAGAGTGTTGTGTAGTTGTCAGCTGCTAGCCGACCAGACCTGTGTACGCCGGCAGAGCAGCTAAAGCTGAGTTATAACAGAGTAGGCTCCACGAGAGTCGTCTGCACATGGGGGTGCTGTTCGCTGACTCAGATCGAGCGGGGATCAAGACCGTTCCCTGCAGCAGCAAGCCAAATGCACACACAACCTATTTTACTGATTGAGACTGAACCATCCGGAAATCATGCCCAAATGCACACAAAACCTGTACTAATTGACAACGAATCGTCCCCGAAATCACAGCCAAGTGCACACAAAACCTATACTGATGGACAACGAATCATCCGGACGAATCACGGTGAATCACGGCTCTGCGAGCCTCTTACCTTTCTCGGCCTTTTGGCTAAAAATAAATCAAGTGTAGCATCTGTTCCGATCGGTTTAAAATGTGATCCTTGGTCAATCGGACCACATTAAAAGATAAAAATAAAAAAATACGGCGCGCGACCTGCAATGATTGTGGACCCAACTGACGAAGATGACCAACCAGAAGACAGCTGCCCTACTGTGGCTGCAATCCCTCCAGGTGGCGGCCTCAGCCACATGGTTATCTACCGCGGGTATGAATATCGCCCAATCCTGCTCACGTTGTAACTGGGCATGGGAAACGACAGCACACTTGTGGATTCACTTCCCGGTGCCAATAAGACTGTGGAAGTGGTGGCGTCGTCATCGGCAGGCCATCACTGTGTGGATTCACTGCCCAGTGTCAATAAGACTCGAAGTGGTGGCGTCGCGTCGCCATCGGCAGGCCATCACGGTGTGGATTCACTGCCCAGTGTCAATAAGACTGTGGCAGTGGTGGCGTCGCCATCGGCAGGCCATCACGGTGTGGATTCACTGCCCGGTGTCAATAAGACTGTGGCAGTGGTGGCGTCGCCATCAGCAGGCCATCACGTCAGACACTACTCCCAAAAGTGGTGGAATGGACAGACACCTGGATCTTGTCCGGGAAAGGCTGGAGGCTGAAACCATATTCCAGGGGTTGGTGATAAGTAGCACAAACATGCAGAGGAGTGTTAATGGGGGTGATTTGGCAGACAAGGAACGCGGCCCTTTTTCAGGGCGACCTTTGGTCATTCCCCCATACCCGGTCGGCGGTCGGTAGTGAAGACTCAGATAAAGGAAAGTTATCAGAGCCGACTGGCATTCTAAGCATAAAGCTTGATTCAGAGCCGACTGCATTCTAAGAATAAAGCTTGGTTCTTGAAAGTTATCAGAGCCGACTCGGCATCGGCAAATCAGTTGACAAAAAATTCTAACGATTCGGAACTTGGCCTTGGTGATAGGGCCCTGGCTGAGCACCGAGGCTGTGGCCTTGGTGTACCATCGTAGGTCCGATGTGGAGTTGGTGGTATAAAATTGGAATCAAGGTTCAAGCAAGGTAGGAGAGACGGGGACTGATTTAGGGAGCCGAGAATAGGCCCCTATAAGCAAAGCCGGCTAATGCTCCCGGTTATGAATAAGAGTTGTTATTCGTTGGTGGATGGCTAGGAGGGTTACACTCTTTACGAGACATGATGTAGATTTTGTTGCTCTGAAGGAATAGCAGGCTATGACAGGAAAGAGGGATACTGGACCCGGTTTCCAGTCTGCCCTGTGTGGCGGCAGGGATGGGTCTCTCCCATCCCTCATCCAAACCCACAAGAGTGGGGATCATGGACAGTGCAGCAAACTTTTCGTATTACTTCATTAAAAAAAAAAAGAAAAAAAAAAAGGAGGAGGGG